CTCCTGTCAGCTGCCCCTCCCCACAGACAACTTCCTTGGCAACTTCAGTCAGTACCTCAGGGAATAAGGGCCCTCTCCTGGGCCTCCCCATACTAGGCCTGGGTCTATTTGGCATAGGGCCTTAGACTCAGGGAACTCTACATCTGAGCTCCTCACTGCTTTATCCCTTTGAGGAACGGCAGGCACCAATGGAACAGTCTGTGGGATGTGAAGCAGGCCAATGACAAAACCTCTGTAGCTTCACCCTCTGTTAATCAACTGACTGTAGGATTGAGTCCCAGGAAGAGAATTAGTGGAATTACAGCATAGGAAGTTGAGGCACTAAGTGAAAGAGAGACACCAAGGCCATTTTAGCTGGTATGAGCCAAGGGAAGCCCTAACCTGCAAACTATGATAAGCTCAGTTCTATAGTCAGGGCCTCGATGAGAAGCCAGTCACTTTTCAGCTTTGGCCTGAAGAAACCCTCTGTAAATACACTAATTTAGACTCTGAGTCTAGAGAAGGGTCCGATTATCCTAAGGCAGTATTCTGTCAGTCAGCTCCAGATATTAGACAAAAGCTCCAAAACTTTCAACTGGGCTGGCAAACCAACCAAAATGAGCCAATCGGTTGATGAAGCTTATTCAGTGTTCAACAGCCACGAGAAGCAGAGGACAAATGAGAACTGGATAAGGAAAGGAGAGAGGGAAATAAAAAACTTAAAAATTGTGCTTTAAAGAAAACCTGCAGCCTCGGAATACAAGTCTAGTTTACTTACTTTTTTCTTCTCTCCAAAGAACAAACCTAGACAGCTCCCATTCAGCTAAAAATGGTCCTGCCCATTCCCTTTTTCTTGTCACTGGTCCTCTTTCACCCATGAAGTGACCTCCTTTTTGGCATTTCCCCTAGGATTAGATCATTATTTCATTAGGGGTGAGTCATTCTCTCCCACCCATGAAGACTAAGACTAAAACCAAGACTATAGATTATTAATTTTTTTTTTCAGAACCAGAGATTGAACTCAGGCCCTTGTGCTTGCCAGGGAAGTGTTTATTCTAGTGAGCCATCTTCCTGGTCCTAGATTATTAATTATTAAATGAGGGCCAGCCAGATAGCTCAGCAGACTAAAGAGCCTGCTTAGGCAGGCGCAGGGATGGGGTTCTATTCCTGGCGTGCCTGCTGGCCCTGCCCCCGGGGTGCACTGAGACAGTGAATGAGACTGGGCGTGGTGGTGCACACCTGTAATCCCAGGGCTTGGGAGGCTGAAAACAGGAGGATCACTATGAGTCCTATCTGTGTAGTGAGGTCCTGTAGACCCTGTACTAAACACATTTTTAAAAAATTAAATGAAGAATTAGCTTCTGGTTGTATAGGTCTTCAGAGTTGTCAAACTAGGGTTGTTAATGGTGGATTTCCACCTTCCAAAGCAGGTAAAAGACCCCCCAGTTCCCAGGTGTATTGTGCCTCATTTTTGAGCACCCATACTCTACTCTTGTGTGCATCCTGTGTCTATTTACCTCTGATTAATCTTTCCCATGCCTCTTTTACTGACTGGGTCTGAAAATTCTTTTTTCTATAACAGGAATCAGCAAACCTACATATTTATTTTAAAGGGATTGGTTAAATTCCTCAATTCAGCCTTGTTGACCCTCAGACTCAACTTATGGATGAGCCATCAGGAAAAAGCTACCTAATACAAAATTTCACAACCCTATTAACCACTTCTTTGATTATTATGATGCAGGAGCTATATAGTTGGCTTCATCTCTCCAAGGCAAAACTCAAACTGAAAAATCAGAAGCCAAAGAAGGACCACAAATGTCATATACTTGTGAACCAATAGATAACCCCATTTGTTTTCTGAAGAGAATACACCATCTACTCTAGTGAAACAGAGGGATAAAATGGTTTGCCCATTCTAAATAGATTATGTGAAGAGTCACACTACTATCATGTTTATTATACTTACTAAAATAATAGCAAAGCTGAGTTTGATTCCCAGTACCAAAAACAAAAAAATGAAATAAAATAATAGTGGTACCTGATTCATAAAAGGGGCCATGGCCAAATACATCTGCATAGACACATTTATAAACAGTTGTCTTATGTGTGCTTGTCCATATGCCTGTCTAATTTGTGCCAAATACTTATTGTAACATTGATAGCTGTTTTGTTTGAGCTCAACAATTATTTTCTTCTTTTTGCCTTTTTTTTTTTTTTTGAGATTTCCATAGAAAAGTTTCTAAAGGTTAAAATATTTATATCTATCAATTTAAGTTTGCTTATAGATAAAGTAAGTGTCACTAGTGTTAAGGAATATGCTTCCACCCATGTTGCCAGCCTGTCAAACCTGGTTTTACAAATGCAATGCCTGTGGTTGTCTGTATACCATAACTTGGGAGTCTTTCATGGGTCTAAAGTAAGTGTCTGTTGTTATGATCTAGTTCTCATAGGTCATCTAAAAATAAAAGTATTCTGTGAAGGTGACTAAATGGAGACCCTTTGGACTTGGCAAAACTGCTGATAAGACTCTTCTTGGTGAACAAAGGAGCGGCTGCCTGGAAACATTTACTGTGGGAGGCTGAATAACTCCAGGCCTCCAATCCTATTGCAAGTGGGTTTCTGGGTTCCTCTTCCCCTACCTCTGCTGAGCTAAGCTCCTAATTCTTCTTACCCCGCCTATTTCCCATAAGTCTCCTGCTATGCCCCGGAGGTGGGACTTCCTGTCATAGCCCGGTTGCCTAGTTACTTGCGCCTTTTACCTGCTGACGTCATTTCCCTATGCCTCCACTATATATACCCAGAGTTTCCTTTGAATAAACGAGACTTGATCAGAATCCTGTCTTGTCTCCATTTCTTGCATCTTCTGTCCTTTGTCCCCTCCTCCATTCCCTGCTCCTCTCCCAGGTGACCTTCATTGACTGACCTGCTGGTCGGGACAATTTACTCCAGTCTTTATCCACCAATAATTTCTATCACCTTAAGGGAGATAGACCCCAATAAACATTGCTAAAAATATTGGTTATCATCAGAAAGTTAAGTTTAATGTGGGTAAACAAGGTTTTTTTATGCTCTTGGTATGAAACAAAAGTAAAAGGCAAAGGTTTCTCTATAGTTGTGACACTCATTATTGCTAATTTAATGGTATACTGAATGCATTCATGGCTTCTGGGTGTATAGGTCTTCAGAGTTGTAAAACTAGGGTTGTTTATGGTGGAAAACTTTTCTTTTAGACTTAGATGCTTGCCTTTCTCTTATTTGTGTTCTAGCTACTTGTGATAAAAGATACGTGTTAAGCTAGCATGAAACTACCCACCAAATAATTTTTTTAAACAAAAAAATTTATGTGATCTATGTTTTATATATGTGTCACTACACTTAGAGATGTACCAAGTAGTCCAGAAAATGTCACACACTAAAAATTAGAGGCTAGAAATTATAAACTTGTAAGGTACCTTTATAGATAGGTGCATTCTTCCTGGGTAGCATCCTATTGAAGTATAACAAATTAGGTGAGTGTTTCTTTGTGTCATTTAATATCTTGTGATCAGATAGAGATGTTTGACTAAAAAGGCTATTTGATACTAAGATGGGCATGTAAGTGTGTTTCAAAGATAACATCATCATGATTGTCATGGGGCAATGCCATGTGTGCCTCTTGAGCTCAAGTTTTTTCTGTAAGACTTTCTAATTATTATCTGTTAACATCCTGTAGGGATTTAACTTCTATAACAGTCATGATTGATAAGAATTAATACTTCCCTGCCTATACTTTATCTTTCAAAGTGTTTCATATCCAGATATAATATTTACTATATAATGTAAACTCCCTGCTCCTACTTCAGTACTGCAATTAACATTTATGTGTTCAACAACTAAAGCTTGGAGACCAAAGTTAAGGTAACTAGGCTTAAAAGGTAGCCACTATTTTTGCCCTGGCCCCCCAAGGTCAACAAGGACCTAGAACATGAGGGAACCTCTACATGATCCTACAACTTTGGTGAGCCACCCAAGACCCTCTCCCTCCAGCAAGGGGATTTTTGGACCCTAGAGAACTGAAGCCAACTAACACAATGTGCCAAAAAGATGGATCACCCAGGGGGAAAGTCTTCCATGCTGTCACAGGAAGCCAAATGGTCAAGCAAACTTGTGACCCATCCTAGTGACTGACACGGAGGGAAGAGTTGAGAGGCTCTACACATGGTCCAAAAAGTAATGCCTGAAGAGACTAAACTTACTTTGAGGTACAACAAGAGGTAAATTTTGGTTGCTTGCTGGTCTCTCTTTAACCTAGTCTTGAACACCCAGCAGGGGAATATAACCAAAGACATATAAGAGTCACAGCAATATAGGCTAAACCTAGAAGGGGGCTCCAATTGCTGACTCCTGCTTACAGTTTTGAGCTACACTTGTAGACAGAGCCATAAGCTGGCCATAAGTGCTCTTCTAATCCCTTAAGAACAGTGTCTATTGTGGATCCTTTCGCAGCCTGTCTTTCCATTCTAGTGTTCATGCTTTTTTTTTTTTTGAACCAAAACTGATTTATTTATCCAAGTAAAATACTTTTAAACATATATAAAAATGCAAAATAACTAATTTTTTCAATAGATATACACGGGGT